TCTATCTATCTATCTATCTATCTATCTATCTATCTATCTATCTATCTATCTATCTGTCTGTCTGTCTGTCTCTCTGTATGTCTGTCTGTCTGTCTGTCTGTCTGTCTGTCTTACCAACCTACAATTTTTCACATCCTTCAATGAACTGCACCCCCTGTTTATTAACGCACATGTACCATTTTCATGTACTCAGATGAGGAACTGCATACAAGGCTGCATCTTTGCTCTTGACGAATATGCTGGCATGGTGAAAAGTAAGTCATTCACTCCGAGCAATCTGTGCTCTCCGCCCGTTCTCTCTTTGTTGTGTCCATCCACATATTCTCACGTTCCCTTCTCTATGACTCTCACACTCACAAACATAGACACTGATGCACACGCGCGCGCGTGTGCACACACACACACACACACACACACACACACACACACACACACACACACACACACTCACACAAACGCATACCTACTTAAACAAACATAATCACACACACGAATGCCTGGGGACTCTCTGCATCCCTCTGATGTCTTCCCCCTTTTTCACTCTTTCATTCACACTTTTTGACGAGCTCACATACACATAAGGATTCACCTTTTTTAAGTGCGTGCATCCTTCCAGTGATTTTATCATTGGAAACAAAGGCACTAAAAGTATAGTTGTATCGACAATCTACTCTTTTTTCTACAAATCGTTCATCTTACCACGCAGACTGCCAGTCATTCCTTGGTACACTGATAATTAAAATTATCATTAAGGGAATAATTTGGTCTGTCAGATTTAGTGTATTTTTTTCCACTCTGTAATTTACAGTTGTTGTTGATTTTATGTTTTATTTTTGTACTATCTCCTTGTCTTTGATTCCTGTACAACTGAATGGAGCTACAACTAAGTATCACACATACTCTAAATACATGTAGTTTTCAAAAACCCCTGTGTAATCATTTCACACGTCAATGCTGGCTTTTTCTCTTTTTTTAAAATTTCTGAAAAGTACTTCTATCTATTCTGAACATCTGTTTAAAATATCCCCTTCGTCTATTAAAATTATAATATTCTCCTTTTGATTTTATGCAGCCTGCCGATGAAAACATTTGTGTAAAAGTCAAATTGAGCCATCGGACTAGAACATACTTGACCTAGTACGCACAACTGGGGTCTCCACATCCTGTGGGATGACATTTGGATCGCCGTGACCCGCCATTCGCCAAAGACGCTTTTAAAAAACTCATTTAAAGAAAGGGTGTGAGGCAACGTTTACTCGCATCAAGTCTTTGTCACGTGTATTATTATGAAATCGACGACAGTCACGAGGCAAATTCACAATTATGGTCCTTGCGGTTATTTAATATCTTGACACTGTCCTAATGTTCTCCTGTTTCCAGGTCAGCTTTCGGTCCTGGACATTCCTGGTGCCTCTGGTCTCCTGGATAAGCCAGACCTGGTGCGCTCTTCTTTACGTTATTCCTCCTTGACCTTGAAATGGCACACGCCCATCCTGGAGAACGTGACCTATAAAGTTCACAAAAAGTTGGTTGACGTGGACAGTGGCTGGCATTTACACGCGGACACTCGGTTCCGGCAGGACGGGAGGATAGAACTCAGCAAGCTCCGACCTTATGTGACTTACAAGGTAACGTATAAGTACTGTGTGCGGGTTTGTTTGTGATTGTGTGCATTTAATTTGCGCATGTTTGTAGAGAGTTTGTAATATGCTTGTGTAGATGCTTTTGTGTAGATGCTTTTGTGAAGATGTGTTTGCATGTGAGATTGTGGGTGTGTTTTAGTGGATGTGGTCACAGGTATAACCGATTTTCATAGAAAATAATTTACAAACTCATTGTTACAAGTTTATGTCCCCCTCCCCCCCCCCCCCCTTACCCCGCAACCCACCCAAACAGTTCAAGGTTTTGGCGATACTGTCTTCTCTACCTGAGCACATTCTGGAGTCTCAGGAAACTGTTCAGATCACCACAAAGGCCCATGGAGGTGAGTACAGCACTCATTTAATTTGTTAGTATTGTACATCCCTCTCGACACGAATTATATTACGTGTGAGGTGGACTCCTTCCAAATTGCTTGTTAGGGACAAGCAGGGCTGAAAGGGATACAACATTCTTGCAAACAGAGGTACTCACAAAAAAAGAATCCCAACTCGAGTATGCTGGTCACACCGCTCAAGTTGTGAGTATTGTGTGCCTCCGCTAATAATGTTTCCATGTCCTTCTTGATACAGTATGTCAAAATAAGGGCAATTTTATATTTGTATATCTCCTTGAAGGCTCACACTACTTTGAATTTAGACTGAGGTTCAATTATTTCCAAGGTCGCACGGACCTACGATCGGACACAGGGTGGGGGTGAAACCTTCGAAAAAGTTCTGATCAACGTTTGGAAGGCTTACTATAATTTAGATGACCATTGCTTCAAGTTGTCTCCCCTCACAGTCGTTTCCAATGACAATGACTTTGAAGCTTTAAACTCTGTATACGAAGTTAACCCGTG